GCCCCTTTAAAAGGCCCCGCCGCCCGGGAGGTGGGTACTGCCGCTGTGACGGAAGCGAAGATGGCGGCGGCCGCCTCAGAGCTGCTGACGGGATGGTGCCTCTTCGGCCTGGCGCTGCTGGTGAGAGCTGGCTCTGCCGTCGCTGGGGCTGCCCCAGTCACACACACCCCTTTTCCTCTACCAGTCCTGGGTGGGCTGGCTGCTTCTCCTTCCTCAGTCCCTTCTTGTTTCAGCTCTGGGCTTCTTGCTCGGCCTGTGTTCCCCCCAACCTGCCCCGGTAGCGTGCGCTTCTCCGCGGTTCCTACCGGTGGGTTCCTACCGGTGTCGCGGCGGGGGGGCTGTAGGGGCCGGCGAAGCCTGAAGCTGGGAGTATGGGGGTGTTTTCCCTTCCTGCCTGCGTGATGAGCGTTGCTTGTCTGTGTCTTGGTTTGCTTCGTGGGTGAGTGCAGCTCTGGGTGTTGCTCAGGTTGTTTTTAGCCAAGGTACAAAGAGTGAATTGCGTGTGATGAGTGTAATGCTGAAGTTTAGGGCTCAGGTGAAAAGTGTGTTGATGCTGTGCCTATTATCATTACCAAGGTAAGGGGTCTGACTTCACTACCTGCTTTCTGACAGTCTTATTTATATAACTCACAACTGTCTTTCCCTGTGTGTTTCAGGCTATTCTGATTTTCTGCTGGGTTTATGTGCGCAAGTATCAGAGTCGCCGGGAAAGCGAAGTGATTTCTACCATAACAGCTATCTTTGCATTGGCGGTTGCTCTTATCTCGTCAGCGCTGCTGCCAGTGGACATCTTCTTGGTTTCCTATATGAAAAATCAAAATGGTACATTTAAGGTATGGACTTTTAAAATGTCAGTTGTCTCTTAGAAAGAAATGTTTTTCTTGTGCTGTTGAAGTGCTAAATGCCAATGCTAATGCCTGTTTTAGTACCTGAGATTCTGGCAGGGTGGGAGCTGAGGCTACAAGTACAACACTGTTGTTTGTTATTTGAACTGAATTTCAGTTTTCACTTCTGTTTTTTAATGTTTATTCCTGTAAGGCTTTCCAAATTCTACTGGTTTCTAAAAGTTCATTCCCTATATTGTGCAAATACATATATGCTTATGCCATCCTTAAGCTCTAAGTAACTATTAAGTATTGTTTTTTAGTACATCATGGGGCGTTGTAGAATGGAATTTGTTGTCCCCTTGTTCAAAAAACAGACAGTATTGCCCATTGCAATTTAAGATTATTTTGACTGTCTTTTTTTGCTGGCATTCTCTTACTCTGGTACTGAAACATGAACAAAATAAATCTTTATAAGTCTTTATCTCTAATGTAGAACCTGAGTTAATAAGCAACTGTTTTAAAGAGGGAAAAGTGAAAAACCCTTTGGGAGGGGGAGAATAGTGAGAATATCTCACCTTGGCTGATACTGCCTTAACTGAACTATTGTTCTTAAGAACTTGAACTGTAGAGGGTTGCTGTGCAAAATAAGTTCTTAATGTATAATGAAATAAGTATTTATTGCAGTCTGCTCTAAGCATTGCTGTAAGTAAGATTTCTTCCCTGTGCTGAAAGCATTTGCCGTCTGAGTTTTTAAGGAGAGTTCTTGAAGGTACTGACCAAGTGAGAACACTATCATTAAAAATGAAGCATGTTAATAATTTGAGTAACAGCTTAGTTTTGTTTGGAACCTGCCTGGATCTGTGGTAGAAAGGGTGGTCTAGAAACAAGTGAGAGAACGGGCAGATGGTAAATGCCTGCACACCAGACTCCAAGAAGAACCTGAGTCCTGTCAGATACTTGGTAATGCTTCAGAACTAGCTTGTGGCCAGTACAGTGTCTTTTGGCTGGTGCTCATGTAAATTCAAATCATGAGAAGCCTTTGGAATTGAGCTGTGATGTGATTTTTGTTGTTTATTGCTCACTAGTAATACAGAATAAATTAAGCTGCAGTTCAGTGTTATTGTTTGTATCCAGACCTTGTTTGTTCAGAATTAAAATAGCTACAGAAATTGGAAGAAGCCTTTCATGTGTCATGATACTAGCAGTTAAATGAAATAATACTGACTATTAAGAAATATCTTGAGCTTACTGGCTAGAGAAGTAACAGTGATGCTATTAGGCCCAGCTGAAAAATGCACATCTGCTGAGGATTAAACAGAATTTCCTGGTGCAAAGGAGACCCATTCTGTTAATGTATGCATTCCCTGAGTTGAGAAACAAACCCACATGAGGAGAACAGGAAGCCAAATGGGTCATCACTACAGTATTAATTAAGGAAGAATGATTAATAGAGGGAAAATTACTGTACTTAAAATACTTTCTTCAGCTAGATTTCTTTGTTAATAGTCACATGCTGTGATATGATTTGTACCTGAAAGCAAGCTTTCATGCTTGTGGTAATTTTTAATTCTTTTAAAATACCTTTGCCTATGCTTCTAAGCTTTTTGGTCCTGCTTGTTTCTTAATGTTTGGAGGTGCTGCTGGTGGCCTATTGAGATAAAATTGCTCTGTGCTGCCTTGCAGAAGAATTCTTCCTTCTCTTTTAAGGCTCAGCTGAATGAGTTTCTAGCTTTGCAGTAATAACATGGAATCTGCTGATATTAATCCATTTGATCCAACATGTGTTGAAAATATGATATAGAAATATTAATATGGCCTTCCTGATAAAGTTGAGTGGATCTGAGGTCAGTAAACACACCAATTTATTGATTTGGTACTTTCAATTTAGGAGTAATGTCAAGCTTAGAGGCTGACAGCATCTTAGTGTGAGGTCTTCATGAGTTGTTAAAGCTTTTATCATTGCATTGGGTGATGTGCTGCTTCTGCTGCTGCTTCACAAATAGGACAGACTGGATTGGGTTCAGGATATTTCTAAGACACTACTGCCCTTCCTCTGGACCATTCTTTCAAACCCAGGACCTCCAAGGCCCTATAGCTGATACTGGGGTCTGAAGGACTATGATTCTGGCAAGAATCCTGTGTTGTTCTGGACAGCCAGAGTGAGTTGAGTCTTCATTAGATGCTTCTCGGTGAATTTTTGAGGCAGATCCAGGTGGCAGATGTGAGTAGTAATCTCTACAGATAAATTACTAGCTCATAAAAAACCTTCCAACTGGATGATTTCAGAGCTTATGCCAAAAGAACAGTGGCAGTTATCCAGATCCTAGGTAAACATTTTTTTGCTGTATATTCTCTTTTCCTCTACCTTCCAACTGTAATTCCCAGTATCAGTGTTAAAGGGATGAGAAAGTCCAGGATGCTCCACTTAAAAGGCAGAGCTACTGAATGTGGGCTTCCAGTTCACTTGTAATGCATCTGACCCTGCTTGTAGGTATTCTTGAGGCTTTTCTGTGACTGAACTTATCGTGAACTCAGTGGAAGCATGTTACACTGTAGCAGAGGTTCAATTGAAGGCATAATCTCATGGTTCAAAGTTCTCACTGTCAATTGTGTTCAGTAGCAAGTGAATGTGCCCGTCCTGGCTACAAGGATGGGCTTCATTGTCTGAAGTGCAGTACCCAGGCAGGCTACCTTTCTCTGGAGGTTGTCAAAATGATGCTGCTTTCTGGGTGAATTCACTTAAACCAGTGTTGTGTAGCCCTTTCCCATCACATGTTCCTTGGCAAGGGCCATAAGCTATACCTTGGTCAGCCTTTGTTAGCCCTGAGGTTTTGTCCATTTCAACAGGACTGTTCAATGTAACTGTTTATATCTTGCAATTAAGGCAAGTTATTCTTTATTGTTAACAAGAGGCATTTTGTACCTGTTGATGTCTCTCACCATATTTAGTGAGACTTATCAAATACTATTTCGAAGCTTTTCTAGTGAGTGAATTGAGCAGTTTTGGTATTAGAAGGTTTTGCACAGTAGCTGTGTAGTCCTTTAGGAAAGGAGCAGTGGTGCATGGACTTGGGTGGTCAGTGCAATAGAGTTCATTGCAGCAGCACCTTTTCTGGAGGCTGGGATTACTTAGATTCGTAGTGCTGCTAAGTAGGAAAGCTGGCTTTTGGTTCCAGTACTAATCAAAAGAAACTGTGTAATCTTGTAAGCTGTGCTGGTTTTGGCTGGTGTAGAGTGAATTTTCTTCATAGGAGATAATATAGGGCTGTGTTTTGGATTTATGTTGAAAACACTGTTGATAATGCAGGGCTGTTTTAGTTATTGCTGAGCAGTGCTTGAAGTGTCAAGGTCTTTTCTGGCCAGAATGCCGGGAGTGCACAAGGTATTTGCAGGGAACACAGCTGGAACAGCTGACCCCAACTGACCAAAAGGATATCCCATATCATGTAACATCATGCTCAGCATATAAAGCTGGGGGAAGAAGGACAAGGGGGATGTTGACAGTGATGGCTTTTATCTTTCCAAGTAACTGTTAGGCATGATGGAGCCCTGCTTTCCTGGAGATGAACATCTGCCTGATGATGGGAAGCAGTGAATGAATTCCCTGTTTTGCTTTGCTTGTCTGTGTGGCTTTTGCTTTACCTATTAAATTGCCTTTATCTCAACCCATGACTTCTCATTTTTACTCTTCCCATTCTCTCCCACATCCCACCTGCAGGGAGTGAGCAAGCAGCTGTGTAGTGCGTAGTTGCTGGCTGGGATTAAACCACGATGTAAGTGAAGTCCTGATAATACTCATCAGCACCACTCTTATCTTGAAGGTTTTGGCTGTTTGCATTGACAGTGCTTTAGTTTGTGCAGTGGACTTCAAATACATCCAGCTGGTTTGGATGTGATCTGTTTGATCTGAAAGCTTGTTTGATTTCTAACAAGCATTTAGGAACAGAAAACCTCACCCTAGCTTAAAGACCTAAGATTGCTGCTGGAACCCAAAGCCTCTGGGCATGACCTACAAGTCTCATAAATATTTAAAATGTAGCTATGCTGTCTTGCAGCAGGAAAACTGCTTAAACAAGGACACTGTCACCACCACACTGTCTTTTTTTAATCTGTTGGTGATACAGCAGAAGGCAAGGGAAGGGATGAGGCCTTTTCTTTTTGAAATGTATGGATCCTCACTGCTATATAAAGTTCAAAGCCAGTGGTGTTCTTTTCAGACTGGTTTGACTAACAACTCAAACCCGGGGTCTGCCTGAGCTGTTGAATCATTAAGGAGACAACTGGCTTTTAAGTAGTAGCATCTGTTTAATGGGGGATCCCTTCTGCAGACTGTTCTAAGATTTTTTTGCATCTTGGGGAGAAATCATTATGTAGCTGCTCAGGATACAGAACCCCTGGAAATGTCAGATATTTTTTTATTGTAGAGGTGTTAGCTGAGAAATCATTATCAACTGAGACCATGTGTCCTGTCCTGAATGGGAATTACTGCTTGTAAAGTAACAATACTTGGCCAAAATATTTGATAGCCACATATGGCTGAGATGCGCATGTTTCTGGATGTTACTCTCTATCTGGTAGTCAGAAATCCTGTCTTTCGCATTTTGGAGGTAACAGGCTGGAAGATCTGAGACCTGGACATGAATTTTCCTTATATCTATCCATGCTATGACCCACTCTCCAGTTTCTGGTATTGTGTCTTCCTTCTGGCTAAGCTTTGGGAGAGGCTTAGGAGCAGAATGATGGCTTCACCTACATTTCATGAAACGTCCCAAATACTGGACAAATAAGGTACATTTGTGGAGAATTGGAGCTCTCTCCACTGGGTACTCGTTAAATACTTGCAGAGACCAGCAGTGACAGTAAAATTGCCCCTTTGGCAGGGACAAAAGAATGAAATTCATGGCCATTCCCTCACCAAAAAGTGGGGAAGGTCTAAAATATCAGATTAGCTTGTACTGCTTTTCTCTGGGGAACTTATCTGTACAGTTTAAATAGTACTGCTCTGT